GCCCAGGGCGTGCCAGGGCGGATTTTCTGCACGCAGATGGAGATGCGGGCCGACGTCTGTCGGCTTTGACTATTCCTGGGCACACAGGGATGATTTGGACCGTCGAGGTGAGCTTTTGGGCACATCTCGACCAGTCAGGAGGCTCATCCGGTCGGAATTTGCAGTGAAACCGTCCTTGCTCAGCACACTGCGGTGAAGATGGATGCCGAATGCCAAGAGACGACGACGGCGACATTTCAGGAGGATATAGAGCAGGCTCTTGGGCGACCTTTTCGACAGTGCATCCCCGTGAGTTGTGTCGCTGTTCCCCCGATCCCTGCCCCTACTAATTATTGCCCAGCCTTCTTGCCGCTATGAGCCTTAACCCCTCAGAAGCATCTGACTCACGGCTGTCCGGCACCAAACGTCGTGTCGGAGAGCGGAGCCCGTCGCCTGACAACCCCGCCCCACCCGGCACTGGCTCCCAGCAACCACTCTCGACGGAGACGACAAAGGTCGCACAACCAACATTGAAACGTGCGAGGCGTGAGACTGGCGGGTGAGTCGCAACCACGTCTATTTAAATTCCATTCTGTTTACACTGCTATCCAGCCGCACGGCGACTCAGTGGGCAGTACTTCAGGCGTGAGCGGCCATCCAATCGTTCTCGGGTCCGAAACCGAGTCAGACTCCGGCAGTGGGAACAACTCCGAGCACGAGAAGGACTTTGTCACCGACGAGTCGTCGTCTGGCTCGGATGATGATGGGTCGGACGCGAGCGATGAGAGCAAGACGACGGCGACAAAGAAGAAGAAGAAGAAGAAGAAGACCAACGCAGCGAGGCAGAAGGCCAAGGGGAAGAAGAAGACGAAGAAGGCCACGGCGGCATCCTCCAAGGCCGTGTCGCGAGGTGGTTCGACCTCCGACAACCTCCAGGCCCGCTTCGCAAAGCGTTACGAAGGCCTGACCCCCGAGGAAACACTCGGTAAGCACGATACGTTTGCTAGTATGCATACCTCTTCTAATCCGGATCCATGATGTCGCTTGGACAGAACGTCTCATGCAGGTGTGGGACTCGCCCTATTACGACCATTTCAACATGCCTCCCACGATTGAACGTAACCAGAAGGACGAGGTTGTACATAGGTTTTACTGCAAAGCGTAAGTTTCTCCTGGCTTCTACTACTACGAGTCTGTCAGTGTGTGCTGATCTTGTTTTCGGATACAGCCACCCTCTAAAGTCCGTGTCCCGCGTTGCGTATGAAGAATCGACAGGGAACCTCGGTCGGCACGTGAAGAAATGCAATCCGGCGGCGTTCAACAAGGAGACCGACGTCATCCAGAGGTTCGCGGCTGGTGTGACGTACACACCACATCGCATGCGCTATCTCTGCGCGATGTGGTGTGCACGCCGCAAGCGTCCTTTCACGGTCGTTGAGGACGAAGAGTTCCGCACTATCTGTGCGATGCTCTACGCGCGCGCGAAGGTCCCGACGCGTACAACCGTCTCCAAAGACATTCGCGATATTCACCTCGAGGCGGAGTACCGCTGTGTCGCCTTCCTCAAGGTAAGTTTTCTAAGCTCTCAACCTGGAGCGGGCTTGCAAATGGATGCTGACGACTTGCTAGTCTATCAAGGGCGCTGTTCATGTCTGCTTTGACGGGTGGACCGCACCAAATGTAATCTCCTACTTAGGGATTACGGTGCACTGGCGTGAAGAGCGCGAGATCAAGCATATCACGCTTGACTTCGCGAAGTAAGTCCTTTGCGTTCTCGTTCATGTGCACCACTGATCCGCCACTCCCGCACAGACTGTTCAAGGCTCATACAGCCGACTATCTCGGCAAGATGCTCGCCGATGTTCTCCGCCGCTTTGGGATCTTGGACAAGGTGCGCATAAGCTCCAAACGTGCACTGATTATCGCTGCCATATTGAGCTGATACTGTTCTGGCTTTAGGTCTTGGCTGTGACCTCTGACAATGCGGAGGTCAACACGGCTATGATGCGTGTCCTGCGCGAGACGTACCCTGAGTTGCGTATCGGGCGGGGGCAAGTGCGGTGCTTCGGGCATATCTTGAACCTTGTCTGTAAGGTACGTGTACAATGTAGCCAATAATGCGACGTATTTTAACCTCATTCTGCACTGGACAGGCCGCGTTAAAGCCGTTTCAAAAGGCTCGTTCATGCAAGAACAAGGAACAAGACTCTGATACGGACTCTGATGCCTCGGACGTCTCTGAGGACGAGGCAGAGGATGACGATGAAGAGGACGCGGACCGCGAGCACGCCGATGCGGAGCTGATCGACATGCTCGAGAACTCAAACAGCTCCGCCACTCCAGAGGAGATCAAGGAGGCTGTTGAAGCTCTGCATAAGGTGAGATCTCAGGTGCGATTGCTACACGTTCGACTAGCTCACAGTCTATCGCTCAGGTCCTGCAGCTCTCACAGAAAGTCTGGCACAACCCTGCCGTCCGCGAGGAGCTTCATCGGCTCGCAGAGGCGCACGGCCTCAGTGCCATCGTCCTCGTCCGTCTCGTCAAGACCCGCTGGAACTCCATCATCGGGGTTCTGAAGCGTGCGCTCGAGATGAAGGAGGTTCTTGGCAACGTTTGTGTCATGCGGCAGTTCAACCGGCCAGGCGGTATCCGCCTTCTTCGGTTCAAGCTGGAAGACGAAGACTGGTTGCTTATCGAGCAGCTCCACCGGTTCATGGATGTAAGTAAATGTTTATCTACCGCCTCGCACGAGTACGCAATGCTCATTTTGATGTTACAGCCTTTCCTCGTTGCCACTCTTGAGGTCTCGACGAGCAACAAGGCCCTCCTGCATGTGGTAATCCCATACATGGATAAGCTTACTTTACATGTCGACCGCTATGCAACCCGTGAGGATGTACACCCCGCGATCCGACAGAGCGCTGCCCTTGCACGCGGCATACTCGACAAGTACTACAGCAAGACGGACGACACACCGCTCTACCGGATTGCCATGAGTACGTCCTTCCCCGTGTGTGTAGTACAGTCCTGGTCCCCGGAAGGACTTACCTCTGTGCTGCGTGCAGTGCTCAGCCCCGCTTATAAGATGAAGTACTTCGACGATGCTGAGTGGGACAACACCTGGGTTGCGGAAGCTCGACGCGTCATCACGGAGGTCTGGCTCAAGTACTACAAGCCCTCCCCGAACGACCCTTCAGCCACTGAAGAATCGAGCACTGCTGGCAGCTCGCGCAAGCAGAAGGGCAAATCCTCTTCGGCTGCGGTCAATCAAGCTCGCGAGGAGAGTCTCGCGGTACGTTGTTTGCTACATGGTTGTATATGCGCGCACTGACTTAGTTGCTTACAGCTCTTCGCGAACATCAGCTCTCGAAGTGCGTCACACAACAAGCCTGATGTGGACGCACTTCAGGCCTGGCTCCACTCGAGCCCAATTCCGAACGCTGACGATGCTCTCGCATATTGGAATGCGGCCATGGGGAACGGCACGGAGGATGTGCATCTCGCACGCATGGCCGTTGATTATTTATCCATCCCAGGTATGTCCGCCTGCTTTATTCATTCGTGCTTCCATCTGAATTGCCCTTAATCCCCTCAGCTACATCCACGGATGCAGAGAGGGCGTTCTCGCGTGGTCGCCTCACGGTCTCGCGGCTTCGTCACTCAATGGGCAATGACTCGGTTCGCGCGAACACGATCATTGGCTCCTGGGCCCAGATCCCTGCGTTGGTTCCTGAGACTGAGATGGTGGACTTCCTGAAGGACAAGAAGGCTGCGCGCGCGCGTCGTGAGGCCCAGGGTAATGCTAATTGAGGGTGTCTACGTAGGAATACCAATGCACATATTATATTCTCCCCTCCACACGTCGTCCGCGTCGTCCGCATCCTCGCGTCCTCGACCTCCGCCCTCGCGTCCTCTGGCCCGCCTCTTCCCTCACCCACTCGCGTGTCCGCGCTCGCGTCCTCGACCTCCGCGCTCACGTCTTCGACCTCCGCGTCCTCACGTCGTCCGCGTCGTCCGCGTCCTCGGCCTCCACATCCTCGCGTCCTCCGCGTCCTCACGTCCTCGACCTCCGCCCTCGCGTCTTCGACCTCCGCGTCCTCACGTTGTCCGCGTTGTCCGCGTCCTCACGTCCTCGGCCTCCGCGTCCTCCACGTCCTCCACGTCCTTACGTCCTCCGCATCCTCCGCATCCTCCGCGTCCTCCTCGACCTCCGCGCTCGCGTCTTCGACCTCCGCGTCCTCACGTCGTCCGCGTCGTCCGCGTCCTCGGCCTCCACATCCTCGCGTCCTCCGCGTCCTCACGTCCTCGACCTCCGCCCTCGCGTCTTCGACCTCCGCGTCCTCACGTCCTCCGCGTCCTCCGCGTCCTCGCGTCCTCGGCCTCCGTGTCCTCACGTCCTCACGTCCTCGACCTCCACCCTCGCATCCTCTGTGGCCCGCCTCTTCCCTCACCCACTCTCGTGTCCTCCGCGTCCTCCACAGGTCCTCCGCGCTCTCCGCGCTTCCTCCGCATCCGCGCGTCATCCCCGTCTGCCATGTCTGCCACATCGTCCACCCTCCACTGAGTCCGCCCGAGTCCGCACTCACGCTCTCTGCCTGCGTCAGATTCCTGCACGTGCAGGCTCCAAACTAGGGACTCGCAAGGACGTTTCTACAACTCCGCATTGTGTAATAGTTAGTTTTTCAAGTAAACCAATACCTGGATCTGCAGGTATTGACAACCTGGAGGTCATGTAGCAGGTGTACCTGAATATTACAGATCAGGTAGTACCTGGATCCGCAGGTTTTAATGACCTGCAGGTCATTTCGCAGGTGTACCTGCAGGTCACGGGTCCAGATCATACAGATCCGGGTCCCTGACAGTTCCGGATCACTACAGATCCAGATCAGTGTCTGTCAGACATGCTTACCTGCAGGTACAGATCCAGATCACCTGCAGGTAGACCTGCATACAGCCTTAGGATGGCTGTATTAAAAAACGAGATCAGCGCGCACTCGGGCAGTGCTAGATGTGCAATAAACTCACGCCTTGCAGAAAAACCGATGTACAACTTCACCCTTGTGGTTGTGTTCGATCTCCGGGGGCATACGGAAGTGCTCGTAATACGGCGAGTCCCACACCGCGAGCAAACGCTCTGTACGAAGGTAATCATGAGTAAACGTGTAAGATATGTGGTGTGAGCGGTAAATTGAGGCTTACCGAGAGTGGCCTCAGGGGTAAGACCTTCATAGCGCTTCGCAAACCGAACCTGGAGGTCGCGTGCGGTGGGGCCACCTCGCGATACAGCCTTTGATGATGCGGTCATCGTCTTCGCCTTCTTCTTCCTCTTCTCTTTGGCCTTCTGCTTCGCCGTGCGGCTCTTCTTCTTCCTCCGTGTTGTCCTCTTCGCGTCGCCCGAGTCGCTCGAGTCGGAACCGCCATCATCTGAACTGGATGAGGACTCATCCGTGACGTAGTTCTTTCCGTCACCGACACTGTCAGAATCGGAGTCGGAGACAACGATGGTTGGATGACGGCTCCCACCCGAGGCCGACGCCTCCATTTCCCGATTCGTAGCGCTGCCAGATACAAGTGTGAATACAATAGAAGGAAACCGAACGCGAAATGAACTCACCTTGCGGTCCCACGCCTCGGACGTTTCGAGCTTGGTTGCACGGCCTTCACGGTCTCTGTCGAAGTCGGTGGCTGGGAATCATCAAGGACGATGGAGTCGGGCGACGGGGTACGGTCTCCGACACGCCGTTTGGCCCCGGAGGGCCGTGATTCGGACGCTTCTGAAGGGTCCGGGGTCATGAAGGGATGAAGGCTGGGTGACGAGCGACAATGAGGAACAGGGATCGGGGGAAGCAAAGTGCACACGTACTACTGTTCAGCCCTCTGGGGATCTGCTCTATATCCTCCACCGAATCGCAGTCGTCTGAGGATCGCTTCGTCTCTCATCTGGCGTCAGAATTTGTCTTCGTGGTACAGTGCTGAGCAATGGTTTCACTGCAAATTCCGACCGGATCAGCACACTTGCTGCACCTGACGCGTCGAAAGGTTTCTGAAAGCTCACCTGGACGGTCGAAATCATTCTTGTTTGCCCAGAAATAGTCAACCCAGGGCGACATCGGCCCGCACATCCACACTATGTGCGGAACACCGGCCTTGGCATGCCGTGCACCTGCGCTGTGTGGTGGTGCATGAGGCTTGCTAGGATGAGCACGAGATAAGTTGCTGCATCATCCAGCGGACGGAAAAACAAGTGAGCGAAAAAACCGCATGATTAGGGGCAGTACTCACCGATAACGCTGTTGCAGTGCCTACCACGTGCCGTCATCTGCCTTCCCGTACTGGCTAGGCTTGTGGTTGAACAATGAAGGACGGCCAGGCTGCGATAGGACATGACGGCGGGCATTGTGAGCAGCGGAACGGTAGACGCAGGATGAAGACGGGGCAGAAATGGAATCGCAGGCGTGCGTGGCCCACAGTGCTTCCATTCATTCACACGACTCTGTTGGGGGACACAAATGTAACCGACCTTCCTCGGTGTTGCCCGCCGGCGTCTGTACTATCCAGACCCGACACGAACCCAGTGCTCTTCCTCTCACCATCACATACCCTCTCCCTCATCAGCCCTTCATCAACCTTTTGCCCAGCGACCTCACCCACATCACACCAGACTTCCACCTCACTTTCTATCTCCACTATCTACCTGCAGGCTACCCCATCAACACGAATCGCAGATCGTTATCTGACAAGAGATCGTTATCTGACAAGTGATCTGCAACAGTCCCGGTGACCCTGCTGGCGGATTGGCGCAGGTACGTTGTGAATATCCCTGCCTCTGTCCTTCGCCCCACTCACCACGTTCATTTTGACAGCTCGTATTCAGAGATTATGCCGCTCATCGTTGGCAAAGTGTGCGCCGTGCCTGGGGTGCAGAAACCTGATTAGTAAGCATCTTTGTCTCGCCTTTCAAGCTCCCAATTATCTCTATTCTAGCCATGCGATCCGGCGGCTCGTGGAGATGACGTGCAGGCCGCGAAACGTGGGGACAACGTGCAGCACGTGGGAACGACCCGCAGGATCGCGGGCACAAGACATTGGCTGAACAACACACAGCTCGCGGCGACGACTATTGTACGTGTGCCATGATGTCTTCTGCACAATGGCACTGTGGTTAGGCGTGTTGGCTCGCAGCTACGACACCCGCTCAGCCCCTCGCACAGATGACACGTCACTAACGCGGAGCCAACGACACGTCGCTCACGCGGGCGACGCGGCCCTCGCGCGGACAACACGGGTCTCGCCGCTCGCATAGACAACCCACCCCTTGCACGGACGAAATGCCCCTCGCGTGGACGACACAGCCCTTGGCCCCTCGACACGTCGCTCACGCGGGTGACGCGGCCCTCGCGCGGGCGACGCGGCCCTCGCGCGGACGACGCGGCCCTCGCGCGGACGACGCGGCCCTCACGCGGACAACACGGGTCTTGTGTAGACAACCCACCCCTCGCACGGACGAAATGCCCCTCGCATGGACGACTCAACGGCCCTCGGCCCCTCGCGCGGGCGACACGTCGCTCACGCGGGTGACACAGCCCTCTCGCGGACAACACGGCCCTCGCACGGACAACACGTCGCTCATGCGCATGACGCCTGCAATTGCGTGTGACGCGGAGGGGCCTGCTGCCCCTTCTTCCACACTTCAGCGCGGTGGGCAGGCTCGCCATGCGTCGGGTCGTGTGCAAGACGTGCGATTTGCGAAGACGTGATGCGGCACGCCCACTTGGACGCGGAGGGCTGGGGAGAGCGGTCATCAGTGTGCGGTGTACTACCACTGTACGTACTACGTCGCAGCCCAGGCGGAGCCGGACTCTGAACCTGGCACTCCGGGAGTGTTGAGAGGGCGTACAGCGGGTGCTGCCACACTCCTGTATGTCACGAAGTGTTGTGCACTATACACAATAATGCTACCCACACACCTCCATTTTCACGGTGAATCCCCTGGCGCTAATGGGTGTACACCCGCAGGTGCACCTGCATACCCGGCACTTCCCGGGCAGTGTGATCTGGACCCGTGGTGACCCGGACCCTCATGTACCCGGATCTGGATGGTGCATGAGCTGTAGGGATCACCACGGGTAACCCTCGGGTCGTCTGAGGGCTACCCGTACCCTTACCCGCGAATACCGTGACCCGTGTAGCGCGGGTGAGGGTACGGACGGGTCCAGTCATTCAACCCGAGGGTCGTGAGGGGTATGGACCCTTCACGGGTTACCCGCGGGTTCATTACCACGTAAGTATCATATGTAGTAAGCTTTAGTATTATATGTGTATCTACAATCAGACACGAAGCACCATTGCGCAATGTCCATGGCCGAAAGAATGTTGAGCGCGGTGCCCATCCCGTGCTCGCGTCTACTCGGTGTCCTCCAGCCATGTCCTCCAGCCAGAGCCCCACCCAGTGCCTCCGAGTCTCCCGCTCGCCTTCTGCGGCCCTCTCAAGACTCAAGCCTCTGATAGCCCCGTAGACGACTCGTGGCGTGGCGGCTTCCACACCCGCTTCCACCGGTGACCGATCCGCCACGGCCATCGAACCCACGCGCTCCGCTGCACGGCGACGGGAAAGGCTCGAGCCCCACTCGTGCCGTTGCGTGGCTGAAACGTGACGTGAAAGCCTCCGCTCTTGGCCTTCCTCTCCCTCTATCGCGCGCGATGGCCACAGAGCGCAAAGCGCATAAAGGACCCCCACGCTTTCGTCCACCTGCCCTCGCGCAGTCTGGGGAACGAGTGTTGCTGTCGGGAACAGTGGCGGCGCTTGGCGAGCCGCGAGCGATGGTCGATGGTGGGTGGCCCATGAGAGGCGGCCGTGGCACGTGAGGACAGGAATTGGCGTGCAGGCCGCCCCCTACGGACGGTGATTCTCCGGGAGGAAGGCGGTACGAAGGAAGGCGGTACGGAGCAGAATGAGGCAGAGCCGGACGAGGCTGGTGTGGGCGCAAAGAAGGGAAGCGTGAAGGGTGATGAGGTAGAGGCGGACAAAGTGGAGGGTGGCGTGGGCGTGTTGAAGGGCGTGGGCACGAAGTAGGGCAGCGCAGAGGGTGATGAGGTGGAAGATTGAACGCACGCGGACGCCGGAGAGAGGCAACACTGAGGAGGGCAGTGCGTCGATCCGGAGCACGTTGTGGGAGAGGGCAAGACGCTCGACAGTCACGCGGAAGAGCATTGTGGTGAAGGGCGATAATCGGAGGAAGGCGGGGACGTGTGCGCATGCCCAGAACACGGGCAGTTGGGTGTGTCCAGCGCGAGGAGTTGAGCGCATCGAGTGCGGGGAGGTGAACGTGTCCGGTGTGGGGAGAGGAACAGAGATATGAACAGGCTGCCGTGTCCAGCGTGGGGAGGTGAACACGTCTGGCGCAAAGAGAGGAACATGTTGGATGTGGGGAGGTGGAACGTCGAGCATGGGTAAGTCAGCCCATCGCATCCCAACCCCGCTTCATCTCATAGTCGTCGCCCTTCTTCTCGACTTGGTCCAACTTGCTGATGGTGGCGAGGTCGTCGTTGTTGATGAGGTCGTGCAAGGACCAGCTGCCAAGACAGAGGAGTGCGCGCGTCGTCTGCGCACTCATCCGATTGCGAGTGTACGGGAGGAGGAGACGACCGCGGCTGAATACACGCTCAACTTCGATAGATGTAGCTGTGGAAAGTTAGGTCAGCACGACTACTACATCTGCAGATGCACTTCAGAACGCACCTGGAATGAGAAGGTAATCGCGGGCCATGCGGCTCAAGCAAGGATACACGGTCGCTTGAGCTCGCCACCATGCTAGAGGGTCGGTGACCGGGACGCGTATGATTGGATCTGCGAGATATCGTGTGAGCTCGTCATGGGCCTGCACATTCCCCAAATGGTGGAACGCCAGGTTGTCGAACATGTCTTGTTCGTCGTCGTCGCTGTCCTGTAGAAATACACTGTCAGGCGACCCGCTGCTGCGCGACTTCGCGATTGAAGAATTACGTACGGGTAGCCTGCTGCTCTTTGCAGGTGTTTCGTTGCCTCCGTGCTTGGCCGGCTGGTTGTAGACACTGTCGAACTCGTCGCGAACGAGCTGCTCAGCTGTGTCGATCCACTTCGGCTCCCACTTCTGGCTCCGGAAGTAATCGAGTTTGTAGTTGGGATGAAGGACTAGGAAAGGTAGTATCAATAGTGATGTAAATAGTTGTAGACTGAAGGAGAGGACTTACCCATTGCAATACGATAAGCCTCCGTTGAGTCTGTGAGCGAATAGTACTTGTTGAGCACGCGCTTCGCAAATGAGCATGCCCCCCGAATTGCGGGATCAAGCAGCTGGCCAGTCGAAGTCGTGCTGCCCTCACACTGGAGGGTGGTCAGCTTCTCGTCGAACATGTCCATGGTTGGGATGACCGAGGCGAGGGTGGGGCTTCCAGGGAGACGTTGACGCTTGGAGAAGAAGAGAGTGGCAGCCTTGAAGATCTGGAGTGTGTGGGCCGAGCGTTGGCATGGCGTAGAGCGCAGACAAGGGAGGGAGGAGGGAACGGAGAGACCGGGGTGTTGAACGGTCGAGTGAGGGGCGGGCAAGAGAGCAACGGCCAAGAAAGCGCGCGGTGGAATGGGCGCCGGCAGCGTGGGTGCAGAAGGACGAAATTAGCAGCCAACCGCACGCACGGAAGACATGGTGCCATACGGTGGTGGGAGTGCGATTACGAGCACAGCAGACAAGGTCAGTGTTTGATATCAACCCGAGCGCGCTCTGCTCACCTTCAGAACATCCACCAGCTGCTCTACAATCGTCCACTCTGCTCTCGACAGCGCGAACTCCCCCAGGTCGATCCCATGGTCGCCGTCGTCAACAGTGAAGGAGCGGATCGCTATCTTCAACCGCAAGACCATCTTCAGCATGTCGAATGTTGAGTTCCACCGCGTCCGAACATCCCTGGGGATCATGAGCACGGCAAAGCCACGATCAATCAAGTGCTTCTTCCATGCCGGCAGCAACTTGGTCGTCGACTTGCGGATCTTCACAGCGAGGCGACGGATCTGCATGGCAGCACAAAATGTGAGTATATCGCGCTGGTCAGAACCTCCTCGCATATACACGTACCTTGGTCAAGACCCCACGGACCGGACGCACGCTCTTGTAAAACTCCGCGAGCTCGTCCGGAGTCATTCCCGCCATCTCATCCACCCACTCATCGGCGCTGACCTCGCCCAGCCCCGCATTGTCGTCAGTGACCAACACATCTCCCTCCTCCCCGGCCTCTGATCCCTCCCCATCGTCGTCATCTTCCTCCTCGTCCTCCATCTCCTCAATGACATCTCCATTCTCATCGAACTCCTCTTCGTCTTCTTCTGCCGCTCCTTCACAGTCCTCTTCCTCTGCTCCAGAGTCGTCCGGGTTCTCACCATTACCTTTCTTTTTAGGTCTCTTACGTGGCTCAAATTGCTTCAACAGCCCCCAGCTGATCAGCTGTACAACGTGGCCGAAGCAGCGAACGTGCCCCATGGTGGCACGCCACATCTCGTCCATCTCCTCCTCCATCTTCTCGACCATTTTGTCATTCGCCGACGCACTGTCACATGTGGTGCCAAGAACCTGTGTATGTTTCTCAGTCAGTCACTGCATTTCTCCGATTCAACTTATTGACACTCCAGCCTCCGGACGCGACGCACTGCAAGATGCGCTGCCCGATGCGCCGCAAGACGCGCTGCCTGATGCGCCGCAAGACGTGCTGCCCGACGCGCCGCAAGACGCGCTGCCCGACGCGCCACAAGACGTCCCACACGACAAGCTGCAGGCCCCGACGCACTGCAAGACAGCCGCACGACACGCTGCACCGCACGACACGCTGCACGACACGACATGCCGCAGGATACCCCACAAGATGCACGGCCTGACACGCTGGTCAACGCGCTGGCCGACACGTTGGCCATTGCAAGATGCGCTGTCCGACGCGCTGCCCGACGCGCTGCCCGACGCGCCGCAAGACACGCTGCCCGACGCACCGCAAGACGCGCTGCCCGATGCGCTGCAAGACGCGCCGCAAGACGTCCCACACGACAAGCTGCAGGCCCCGACGCACTGCAAGACAGCCGCGTGACACGCCACATGATACACTGCAAGACGCATGGCCCGACGCGCTGGTCGACGCGCTGGCCAACGTGCTGACCAACGCGCTGGCCAACACGTTGGCCAAAGCGTTGCAAGATGCGCTGGCCGACGCGCTGCACAACAAGCTGCAAGATGCATCGCACGACGAACCACACGGACAATAACCACGCGCTGAATCCAGCAGTGGGTTGAGAGTCGAGACTCAAGACGGTACGCTCACCTTGTTTTCAATCTCGAACTCTTTCAAGACGCGCACCATCTCCTCTGCCAGAGTTTCCCCTGTGTGAGCCTGAAAGTCCGCAGACGATTAGAACTGACCCTGGATGCTAGCAGATCAAATTATATACCTTGGGTATCTCGACAATATCAAGAACCAAGCACATAGGTGCATTCTCATGGACCACATGCACCGTGATGGCCATGAGCGCGTGGCCGTTCGGAGACGTCCAGCAGTCCGTTGCAATGCTGAGCCGACCATCGTAGTCCTGTTGGTAAGTAGAGATGCTGTGAGCTGTGAGGTGATTTGATACTAATGCAGGACTCACGCAAAGTAGACGACGAAGACGCCGGCGTGTACGAGCGAACAGCAATTTGGTATCGCGCGCAACCGTGCTCGGCGACGGAACCATGAACCCCGGTCGTCCTGATTTCAAGATAACTTGAAGGTGCGTGTCCTTGACGATCTCAAATGGGCGGTACGACTCAGCACACCACCGGACAAACTCGCACCTTGACAGTGATTAGATTCACGTACAACAGCTCAGACAGCAATAAAGTGGGCTCACCGTGTCTCGGACGCAGTAAGCTGCCGATGTGAGTACGTGACCGTGTTCTTACTGGTGGCTTTGAAGTACTTATTGATGCTTTCACTTGTCGTCGCCTTGACAATATTCGCCCGCACTTGCTCCGCTGAGAGCTTGTTGTTGCGCGCGCGATCAACAGCTTCGTGCCCGAAGCATTTTGTGGCATGCTTGAGTAAGTTGCTCGTGGACGATACATCACCCGTGTTGAGGAAGCGATTAACATTTCTTGTAGAACCCCGACAGATTGTCGCCGAGCATCGGAAGACATGGGCACGACGACCCTGGATTTCCTTGACAGCAGGCCGCGGATCGAAGAAGCCATACGCATGTGAACCCCAACGTTCCAGCATAGCATCTGCAGTGCACCCACAGCGAGGTGAGTTGGTACGCTCTTATAGAGATCACTGGAAGACTTACCAAGCTGCTTCTCACCATCGCTATCATCGTCAAACACAGGCACCTTCGCCCTCTTCGCCTTCGCCTCCGCTTCTGACTTGGCCGCATCCTTCCGAGGCCGCTTCTGACCACGCGACTCCGCAGGTGGGCTGTCAAGCATGATGATGTCATCGTCCGAGCCGTCAAGCCTGTTCGCCACAGCCGCAGCCTCGTCCTCTTCACTCAAGCAGTACGGCGACCTATAACGGTGTCCGGACGAGGTGGAGACGGATGCGGCCGCATCAGGCTTGTTGCGTGTCACCGCCGCCGCCGTGTTCTTGTCACGCCGCAAGGATGCGGCCTTGTCCTTCGTGCGTGCTGCATCCTTTTCATGACTCTGTGTTGATGCGGCTGTGTCGTTGTCCCGTGTCGATGTGGCCGCGTCCTCGTCACGCATGGAGGTGGGGCCATCCTTGGCGCGTGTTGAGGTGTGTGTGCCCTTGCTGCGCATCGGGGTGGGGCCATCGCCGTCCTTGTCGCGCGTTGAGGTGCGCGCATCCTTGCCGCGCGTTGGTGCGGCTGCGTCCTTGTCACGTGGGGTGCGCTTGTCCTTGCCGCGCTTTGGGGTGGGCGCACTCTTGTTCTCTGGCATGCCGACGTTCTCCTGGGAGTGAATGGCAGACACTTGATGGTGAGTACAACCCCGGTAGTGGCATATTGTGCATATAACTCACCTTGGGTTTCTCCGTCTGCAGCTGCTCTTGCATTAGCTTCCAACGCTCTGTCGGCACTTTACGCCGTTTGCTGCCAACACCTTCCGTTGGTGAAGCGGGCCGCTTTTGGGTGCTGGGGGTAGTAGATGACTCAGGTGCGGGCAACGACATCACTTATGAGGTGGGAGGGCGAGTGGAGATGGCAGGGTAGTTGTGGGGATACAGGCAGTTCGGTGGGGGTAGTCTGAGACCGCAATCAGGCTGCCATGGGTTATGTAATGTACTGTACAGCTGGTGGCGAAGCCACCGGCGCTTTAGCTATCATCCGCCACGGCGCACAAGGGCGCTTGCACAGCTGTGGCGTTCAGTACATGCACGGGTACGCACGGGTCCCGCGGGCCGGCTGTGGGTACCCGCGATGTGCCGCGGGTCCTCTGACTACTACCCGTACCCTCACCCGCGTGACCCCCACCCGTGACCCGCGTGGGTTCTGCATACCCGTGATGATCCCTAATGAGCTGCAGTACCATACACGGATCCCTGCAGGTCTACCTGCGCACTGACCCGGACCTGTATACAGCCTTAGACTGAAGAGCAGAGCGAGCCAGAGTCCTCCTTATATCTATCTCAGGAGCTGCATACGTAAGCGAATGATGGAGGACATAGATGGCGCAGAGAACAGACCGGACAGAAGATGGATACGATGCTGTACGGGCTGTGCGCTCAAGACAAAAGATAGTCCGAAAGTAGAACAAGGGAACAAAGAGAGAAGCGTAGAAGAACGGAATGGAAGAGATAAGGGACTACAAGGCAGTGAATAGACATGTGGAACTATGGGAACTATCTCACAATGTCCATGTGTACGTAGAACTATCTGTATGTACCTATGTTCGATATCCAATGTTCAACACACCCCCTCGTTCAAGACGCGGATGAAACTAAACCAACGTGCTCGCAGAAGTACTTGAGTATCGAAAGAGGAACTGACTTCGTAAGCGAGTCCGCTAGCTGCTCCGCAGAAGGAACGTGAAAGAGAGTAACTTCGCCTTCCTCGATGTATTCGCGAATGAAGTGATAGCGGATGTCGATGTGCTTCGTTCGTCGGTCAACGGCAGGGTTTTCAGAGAGAAAAATCGATCCCTGGTTGTCCATGCAGAGCGGCGTAGGACTCGACATATCGTCACCAACTTCACAGCCGAAAGTGCGAAGCCACTTCATCTGTCGGCAAGCGTCTGACGCGGACATGTATTCCCCTTCGGTGGAAGAGAGGGATACTGTGCGTTGTCGGCAAGAGACCCAGGAGAGTGCACCTCCTGCCATCAGGAAAACGAAGCCGGTTGTCGACTTCCTGTCGTCGCGGTCTTCACCCCAGTCCGAGTCCGAGTACGCGATCATGCCGGCGCCATCCTTTCCATCGTAACGAAGACGATAGTGCGAGGTACCACGGAGGTAGCGAAGGACGTAGCGGGCGTAACGCATGTGATCTTCAGACGGATTGGCTTGTACTTGGAGAGACGCGTGACAGCGTAGGAAATGTCTGGACGAGTACCGAGCATGGCGTAAAGAAGGCTGCCGATGAGGCTCTGGTACTCCCGACGAAGGTTGCAGGTGCTTCATCCTGTCGAGCGACGAGGACGCAACCAGCGGGGAGAGGAGTGGACGCAGCGTTGCAGTCAGACATGTTGAACTTTTCGAGGACGGCGTCGATGTACTCTTCCTGGTCGATGTCGAGGATGCGTTTGACGCGATCGCGACGTATACGAGTACCGAGGAATCGTTGCACCGGTCCTAGATCAGTCATCTTGTACTGCTTGCTGAGAGAGTCCTTGACGAAGTCGATGCGCGTGCGTGAATTGCCCATGACGAGTAGATCGTCGACATACAGAACAATCAGCGTGACTTCGCCTGGAACACCCCCTTGTCGACGATAAACGTAGACTCCGGCATCTGAGTACGTGCGGACAAATCCCAGTTTGATGAGCGAGTCGTGGATTTTGAGGTTCCACTGGCGAGAGGCTTGCTTCAGACCATAGATGGCCTTCTTGAGCAGACAGACGTAGTCCTCTTTGCCAGTTTCAACCCATCCTTCCGGCTGCTCCATGTAGATCTCCTCGTCGAGATCGCCGTTGAGGAACGCGGTTTTGACGTCCATGGCGTCGATATCCCAGTCTTCGAGCGCGGCGTGCGCAAATGCGAAGCGGGTCGACTCGTTCCTCGATACAGGCGAAAAAATCTCGAAGTAATCTTCTCCCCAGTTCTGCGTATAACCCTTAGCTACGAGGCGAGCCTTGACTCGACCATCGTGCTTGATATCATACACCCAACGACATCCGATGACGTTACGACCCTTGGGGCGAGGTACGAGCACCCAGGTTCGATTTTCCATCAACGAGTTGTACTCCGAAGCTTCAGCCTTGAACCATTCATCACTCATAGGAGAGTTATGCGCTTCGCGGTAGGACTGAGGAATGCCTTTCTTGCGCGCAGCGTGGTTGATGATAGTGTTGAGCAGATCGAAGTACTCGCGCTCTTCAGCTGTACGTAGCTGTCCGTCTCGTCGTGTCCTGGCGTCGACGCGTGCAGGCGGTTCGTCACCGTAGAAGTTGTCCCTGTTACGACGCGGATTCTGTCCTGCACCATGACGCTGAGGGCGCTGAGGTTGTGGTGGAGGACCAGCATCGACATCAGGTATTTCTTCAACAGTAGGATGACGGTTGCGACGGTGGTTAGGAGCACGTGGCGGTGCACCTGGTACGACAGGAGGCGGAGGCGGAGCTTCGCGCTCTGGTTCAGGCTCAGCATTGGGTGGAGCTTGAGGAGGGTGTGGGACCATAGCAGGTTCCGGAGGAGGAGTTGGAGGAGGAGGTATGAGCTCGACTGGTTCGTTGTCAGGCTCTCCTTCAGGGATGTCCGGGAACGGTGAATCATCGGGGGTTACACGACGACGGCCGGTGTGGTTTTCACGTGCAGGGAAGACGTTCTCATCAAAGTCCACATCGCTAGAGACCATGATGGAGCGGGTAGAGCGGTTCCAGAAACGATAACCCTTGGAACCCTCATAACCAACAAACACAACTTCGAGTGCCTTAGGCTCGAGT